AAAAAAAATGAATTAAAAAATTACAAAAAAATGAGGAATTTTAAATAGTTAATTTGATATTAATATCGATATATTTTTATCAAAATTTTATGATATCTTCAAACTTACATTTTATTCAAAAATAAAAAATCATCGCTTTCTCAAAATCATATAAGACCATATTATAACATCGACTGAAATAAAAAATAAAATAAAATATTAAAATCAAGATGTATCTCGCTGCATTGTACGAGTATCTTTCTAATATATATATATGTAAATAAATAAATTTTTAATTAAAGGAAGGGATGAGATCTTAGAAGTCATGTCGTGTGGATTTGATTAGTTGTATCTAATGTGCATGAATCAACGTTGATAGTCAAATATGGAACCAGTCGAAAGAAAAAAAAAAGTCAAATGGTATGAAATTAGGCGTTGACTCTTAACCTTTCAATAACCATCACATGGAACATGATTAATGCAAAATATATATATATATATATATATATATATATATATATATATATGGGCCTATTCAAGGGAGAACTGAGTTGTTTGTGGTAACTGTGAGAACCAATATTAACCACAAATCAATAGATAAATTAGAAAATTTATAAATTTGGTAATTTTAAAWTAAAATCTTAATGCAAGGATATTTTTGGTATTTTAAAACTATCCTCTCTCATCTCTTCTCTCTCCGGCCACCGTTCTCCGGCCTCCGGCCACCGTCMTCCGGTGATACCACTATGATACCACTGTGATACCTAAAAATATTGACTCTGTTAAATAAATGATACATTGTGATACCTAATCATATATAAGATGCATAGTGATACCATTGTGTTACATCTTCGATCGACCACACAAACGATATCAATGTGATACCCAAGCACATATATGATGTATTGTGATACCATTGTAGTATCACCGGAGAACAGTGGCCGGCGGACGGTGGCCGGAGAGAGAAGAGAGGAGGGAGGAAAGTTGTAAAATACCAAAAATATCTTTGCATTAAAATTTTAATTCAAAATTGCCAAAATTATAAATTTCCTAATTTATCTATTGATTTGTGGTTAATATTAGTTCTCACAGTTACCACAAACTAATTAGTTTTCATTTGATTAGGCCCCTATATATATATATATATATATATATATATGTATGTATGTTGGGCAAAAAGGTCATATGAATGGTTTGAAATATGAATGATTGATTCCCACAATGGGAATGGGCTTTGGAGTTTTGAGAAGGTTGTGAAGGACTGCAGGGTGGATGTTTACAATATTAGGGGACGTTTACACTTTATCCAAATACTTACTTAATAAGTGCTTATTGATAAGAATTAATACTATAATTTATTTTGATGTATAAGATTTTAGTATATCAAAACATATATAATACAACAATTTACTATGTAAGCGTTTATTTAGGTAAAAATCGTCAACCTCACTTACCGAATAAGACTTTTCATCCTTCTCGTCGCTCTTATCCGATAAGATTATTGGTTCTTCTCATATTCATCCGATGAAAAAATTTATCCAATAAATACTTACCAAATAAGTGTTTAATAAACGATCGTAGTCTCGTAACCCATTATCCATACCCATTAAAATAATGGATAACGAAACTGATGATGAGTAGATGGTAAAAAAAAACTCTTTCCAAAGTACATATAATATTATTACACATCAGTTATTATATAAATAAAACATAGGTTCATAAGTATAGTAATTATTTTATATCTCATTTATTTTAATAAATATTGTTTTGTTATTTAAAATATAATTATAATGTATTATTTTAAGAACAACAATATGAACATTCGAAGACAAAACTTTCCATTGAAACTTATTTTCACGATCCCGTCTTTTTTTTTCCTTTAATCATCATGAACTTTTTTACTCGATGCTGATGCATATTGAAAAAAATTAAACTACACACCAAAAATACTAATACGTGATATCATTATAAATGAAAATATTAATATTTGGTTATATATAAATATTATACATATATATATATAGAGAGAGAGAGAGAGAAAGGGGGATCAAACGAGAATGCTAACTATTTAAGAGAATTGGATAGAATACGACCAAACCACATGCAAAATTGCATATGGTTTTACATTAATAGTCTAAAGAAGGTGTGCGGGTGACTTTGGTCACGACTTTAGGTCACGGGACGAAGTCATGTGAATCACATTTGATTTTGTACGTAATGTTAGTGTAAAATCACATTTGATTCGGTCGTTTTCGTATTCTCTTAAATATGTATTGTTTTCGTTTGAACATGATTCTCTCTCTCTCTCTCTCTCTCTCTCTCTCTCTCTCTATATATATATATATATATATATATATATCATGACTTGGGATCATATGAGACCAAGGGTTTTTCGTGAGATCCGTAAGACCAATTCTCAACCCTTGGATTAGATCTACAATTTAAACATTCATAATCACAAAATTGCCACCAGACTTCTCAATAATCACAAAATTGTCACCGTACAACATTAGAGCATTAACTTATGAAATTGATCAATGAACATAAATTGGTCTTATGGGTCTCACGAAAAACCTTTGGTTTCACGTGAACCCAACCCTATATATCATAATGGATAATGGTTAACGGGAAACCGTTTATCCGTACCCTACCCATTAAAATGTTGGGTAAGTAGATAAATGGATAAAGTTTTTTTTTCTCATATTTATATCCAACGGGTCGAAACATATCGGGTAATGAGTTTACCCTTATCCATCGCCTATTATAATTTAATTTTAAAATATACTAGTATAATTTTAATTAATGATAAAAACCTATTAATTATAAAATATAAACGGGATAGAAGGGTCTGTCCATATTTATTTTTACATTGCCCATATATGTCCTTTAATTTTAACGAACAAAACCGGGTCTGTCCATTTTCTCGGTAATGACTGTCCAAGCCCGTATTTATAGCGGGCCAGATGAATCGGGTCTAATGGGTCGTCCCGCCCATAAACAGCTCTAACCATAATGTAGTAACTCGTGTCATTGTATGCTCTTAAGTAGGTTCGTCCGTAAACATACAAGATTTCCACCAAAGTTTGTAAAGAGTACAAGCATATCATTTAGCTATAAAAAAGTCAAACTAAGTACTCAATTTAGATAAGACGGTCAATTTTTCTGAAAACTAAATATAATTAATATAAATGTATTTTTAGCGGCCGGTTCGATTCAGACCGCTCAAAAAGCATGTTCAGACCTTAGATTAAACCAAATTGAACGGTTTATCTATTTTTCAGACCGGAAACTCGATGTATCTTTTTTTGTTTTAAGATAACAGTGAAAAAATTCTCAATTTTACATTAACAACAAATCGAACCATCTAGAGAAAGAAAGCAAGGAAGATCTGAGTGGACCGTCTGATAAAAACCTATAAATAAATAAATAAACAAATTTCTATCGAGGTGGTGTCGGGACAACTGAGTCAAACCATCGAGACAAAGAAAGTACGGAAGTACAAGTGGGTCACCTTATAAATCTACGTAGGCTTGACCATCAATGGGGGTTGGTTTCACGTGAGACCATTTTTTAACTTGAAAGTTGACAGTAAAACACTATGAAGCTAAAAAAAAGTTGAATCTTCACAGCAAAAACCTTCACAGTGTTTTGCTGTGAAGTTTCAAGAGTAAAAAAATGGTCTCACGGGTCTCAAGAAAACAAGTTGGATTCACATGAGACCAACTTGTTTTCGTGAGACCCATGAGATCACTTTTTTACATTTGAAATTTCACAGCAAAATGCTATGAAGCTAAAAAAAAGCCGAATCTTCACAGCAAAAATACTGTGATTGTTACCTTCACAACGTTTTGCTGTAAAGTTTCAAGTGTAAAAAACTGTCTCACGGGCCTCATGAAAATAGGTTGGTCTCACGTGATCCAAGTATATATATATATATATATATAATATGATGGAGGATATATATATATATATATTTTGAACTCATACCATGTATGTATATAGTATCATACGGGTGTATCATGAACATATATGAACTCGTACACCATGTATGTATATAATACGACGTCGGTTGTATCATGCACATATATACCTCATATAACATGGAGAGTATATCATGGACATATATGAACTCATACCATGTATGTATCAACTATGATGCAGGGTGCATCATGTACATATATGAACTCAAATACCATGTATGCATACAATAAGATGTCAGGTGTACCATGCACATATATACCTCATATAATATGATGAAGGGTATATCATGTCATATATCACATACCATGTATGTATATAGTATGATGTCGGATGTATCATGTACATATATGAACTCGTATACCATGTATGTATATAATATGATGGTAGGATATATCATGTACATGTGTAAACTTGTACCATATGTATTAAATGGAGTGTGAAAAGAGATGCTATATCAATGTTCTTTTTTCACTGCAACTATGAACATATATAACAACTTATGCTCTCTAAACATTTCAGAATAATATGAAAAATATAAATTATATAGAAACAAAATGTCTCTGATTCTATCGTTCCCGACACTTACACGTAAACCGTGTTGCTATGCGATTTGCGCAATCTCGAGCAAAATTTTGTGCAGTGATTGCGGTTTGGAGAAGAAAGGGCAATGATCGCTACCTTTAATCTTGAAAACGCCTTCGGGTGGATTTTCCCTCACGAGCTTTTCTTGGATGTCGGGTGAGAGCGCGTGATCGTCGAGCGTTTGAATGTAGAACCTACGCCCGGTTCCGTATTTTTCTTTCGATAGTGAGAGTGTTTGCATTATGGGTCCGAGTGGGATGGGTCTCACTGAAACCATAGCCAGAGCGATATCCTGAAATCAGTCAACCACGGATGTCATGAGAAAAGTCAACGACGATATGAATCTACGATGCTGACATGGAAGCACATTTACGTTAAATCGGATCTTACATGATGTAATTCCTACAGTGATTAAAACTTGTGCAGAGATAACGGCCGGGGGTCAAAAGTTACCTTCGTAGGAGACTGATTGAAATATAATCCGCGCATCTGTTGCTTCTCGAACATGAATCCAGTCGGAGGATTGTCTTTACCATTTCCGTATATTAAGAACTTGGATTCCTTCATAAATAGTTCTGCAGACCCGAGCTGGGAAAAGGGTCTTTATATGAGAACGCGACCAAAACGAAATGAATTATGTGCATAAATTGCATACCTCCTCAGCAAACACGTCAAACGGCTTCTGTCCATCGGATACCATTGTGCCGCATAAAAAGATGGCTTTCGAGATCTTCTGTTGGAAATGCTCCAACGCATACGATACGCAAGCACCTCCAATACTGTGTCCGACTAAAATTACCTACACAAATTCATACATAAAAAAAATACAATATGAAAGATCATAAGGATAAACCAAACAAGCCCAATATATCTGATCTGGAGGTGGGGTCGGGGTGGGATGTACACAGAACTGACCTCTGCCCAAAAGAGTAGAGCAGTTGTTTCCATGAAGACGGTAAAGATAAACAAATATCCCAAATGTAATATGTTACCTTATCATCTTCTGGTAGGTTTTGCAAATAATCGATCAGCGGTTTTGAGTATTCCTCCAGTGAAGTAACGTTATTTGTGTCCTTCAAATCAATGCCGGATCCCGTAAGATCAAAGGCTGTAGGAAGCATTCCCGACTCCTCTAACAGAGCGATAGTCTTGTACCAGCACCATGCTCCAAATCCTTCTCCGTGTATCAAAACAACTTTCTTGGTTTCAAGATTTTCCAAAAACTCCGGTGACTGAATATCAAGATTTTTTAAAAGATTGTGTCAGAGAGCGGAAGTATAACAAATTCGATAACGCCCTAAACATTAACCGTTATTTTCATGATGGCTACTTAAATAATACCTCTGAGACGGTAACCTTAACCTTATTGGTTTCTTTAAGGATCGTAAATATTTTGAGAACTTGGAAACCAATTATTCATGATGAATGCAGAATGATGCACTGAATATTCATGTTAAAATTTACTCATAAATAAAAAAATGCATGATATTCATGATTATTTCAGGTTATTCATCATGAATAAGATACATAGAATAGTTGGTTCACAGGTTCTCAAAATATCCATGGTTCTCCTTTGAACTTTCTCGCATTGATAGATGTTAGTAACAAGAAATATAGCTACCGATAGTGATAGCACCGGTCACCAGAAATTAAAAGAAATCAGCAAACTCATGACCTCAATGCTATTATAAGGCTTGAACGAAAGCCTAGACAAGAAGCTTCTTTTCATCTGACATCTAATCATATCATGAATTGGAATCTACAAAACTAAGGGGACGTTTCCCAAATGATACCCGGTCAGGGCTTACCGGTAGGAGTCAACACTATAATCTATTTGACCAGGTAAGAGGTGTAGTATATAAAAAAGGTATCGTATGCAACAATTTTACCTGGTAAAAGCTTACCCGGGTAAGAGTCGTCACTCTCATTTACCGGGTAAGACTCTCCATCCTTAACATTGATCTTACCGGGTAAGATTTTCGGCCTTTGCCATGTTCATCAGGTAAGGAAAATTACTCGGTAAGCGTTTAGTAAACGGCCCCCAAGACTCACAAGGGGCTAGAAAACGCTTTAAACGCTTAGTGACGGATTTCAAGATTTTGCATTTAAGTGTTGTATATACAAAAGAGGTCCATCATTTTGCTGGACAATCCTCTTCACCCATTACAAATGCTGAGATGGTTCAAGCAGGGACATGGAAGAACATGAGAATACAACAATACATATATTTCATGTTCATGTATGCCTTCCAGAAAGAAATAAAACTACAAAGCAAGTTTTTGACATGTAAGAATATGTGGAACCCAATTAGATTACCCTCCAAAAGAGCTCTTAAAGAGAGAAGGAAGGTCCCAACATGTATCAAGAAAAAACAGTCCAACTCCAACACACCCTCTCCAATGGAGGCTAAACAAACACATATTATCCCAGGGTGTCGAGAGGGGCTAGGCGGGCAAAATTGTTGAATCCCTAGAGTGGTACACCTTCCATTAAGTCCTGTTATGGATAAAGTTGTCCGTGTGAATTAATCTGTCTGTATAGATTGGGAAGGTTTTTGTTTGGGAGAAGGTTTTTTCATAGATAGGAGCGTGATTTGTAATTGGGATGAGCATGTTTGGAAAAAACTTAGCCTTTTGCATAAAGCTCCCCCACTAGAAGCTTACTGAATAAGCCACTTTCTATATCATTAAACCACTGCCGAACAGTTGGTAGTCATGTATAATTGACCGAACAAGGGTTTGTTTACCAAATTTTTTATTAAGTCCTGTATGGATAAATTTGTCTGTCCGAATAAATTTGTCTGTCTGGATAATGGGTGTTGTTATTTACATTTTTTTATCTGAACCAACTGTCAAAATAACATAAATGACTGATTTACCCCCCAATATTAATTATTTGAACATCCAAACAAAAAATCATAAAGAGGCCGAAGATGGGTGTCACATATGAGAAGGAGACGGTGCTTTAAATAAGGGGTATGAGTGTCATTTTTGTGGCTGAATGGGGACAACGCACCATTTCTATCTGTGTGAATAAGCCGTAAGTAAACAACCCAAATGAGCTGTGTGAATAAGGCAGATAGACCAATAAGCCTAATTAAGCCGCAAGTAAACAGCCCCTAAGTGTGAGTTCCATAAAGGTTGCTAACAAACAGGCCCCAATCGAGTCTGAGGAGTAACCTTATTTTGGCTTAACCCACCCTCCTCCATCAACAACAACTAGCCTATGCTTTTCAACCTAAACTTAGACCCCCCAACTCACCCTACCCAGACAACTATGTTATGTTTCCTATCATGACACAGAACAAAAATAGAAAGCTCAAAACCATCAAGCAGAGCCCCATACTTCCAAATCACACAAGTTAACACCAGCCAAGATTCAATGAAGTCATAATAACAAAGTCTAACTGGAAATACAACTATGTGATCATTTATCTCCAATTTCACTCCACTTCTCAATGCATCACAGCTTTCACCATTATCTTGAAAAGAAAGTCAATCCAAGTTTCCCTTTATTTTTCAACATTTTAGTTTCATTTTCAGAGAAACCAAGTGTTTTAGAGACTCAAAGACTTAGCAACAAAGCTCCAAATGAGCCTATGAGCTGATTCAAAGGCAACCCACCACAAAAAGGTTGGACTAAACAACAGAAATGCATAGACAAAAGAAGAAAAAGCAAGCATCCCAAAATAGTCAACGCTACAAGGGCTGTATGATTATCAGCATACTACTCAAGAAAACCCTCCTTTTTAGACTATCGAATCCTTGAAACGAATCAAAATAATGTCAATCCCACTTTTTCCCTCACACCTTTTCACCAAATTTAACATATTAAATAGGTAAATTTAAAGTAAACCCACCAAATAAAGAGAAAAAGAGCATTTAGAAATTAATAAACTGACCTGTTTTTGCTGTTTGGGGTTGGTCAAAGTTGGATCCGAGATGGGATTGCTGCGGCGGCGAGAACTGGTGGATCCAATCCGCCTAGACATGGAACCTTCGAATCTCTGAGACGATTGATGGTGTTGAATTGCAAGAGATAGAGCTTGCATGTGCAGTAACTCTTCATCCGATTGCAATTTCCTCTGTGATCGATTACCACCACCGAATCGTCTGCTACTCTTAGACCCATTATGATTACTCTTGGTCTTGCAGCTGAATCGATTACCCATTTCTAAAAACACGATTGCAGATTGAAATTAGAGGGAATTGAAGATGTGGGTTGAGTATAAAACGAAGGTAGAAGAGGTGGAATTCATGTATTACCTGTATAGCTGAGTGTGTTGTCTTTAGGGTGCACAAAGACAGAGAAGGAGAGAGGGATTAGGTGAGACTTTAAATGGGATAATAATCAGAAAGAGGCCCACGCAAGGAGCTGAATTTGCGACCCAATTAATGGTTGTATTTCACAGTTTCTTCTGAAATTGAGTTCTTGTGGGGGCAGCCCCTCTCTCTCTCTTGAAAAAGTGTTCCGCCGAAAAGGAGAATCTGATCGGCATCGCAGCTTCATCACCACATGCTACGTAACGAGGGGTGTTTAGGATTTTGCAAATTATCTGATAACTTAATTGATAAATAAATATGTTTGATAAAAATATAAAATGATAAAAGAAATGCATTTTAAAAAATTAATTATTTATAATATTTTAAAATATAATTAAAATAAATTTTTAATAATATAATTATTAATATATATTATATTATAAAATATTTGACAAAAAAAATTATTATAAAAAACTATTTTTTATATATGAAGTACTGTTTATTGATGCATATTACTTAAAATTTAAGATTATAAGTAAATAATATTGAAGTTGAAGTTATATGTTTGAATTTGTGTAACTAACTGTAGATAAACATAACCAAATACTGAATAAACATTTTATTTTAAATATGAAAAATCTAAAATGTAATTAAGATAGTCACTATGTTCTAACATAACATTTAATTAATTTTTATAAAAAATATTATTAACTCATAAATAAATTATTTCGTTATTTAACCTAAATAAATTATAATAAAAAAATTGAATTAAATAAATTATACAATAAAACAAGAACTTTTCAAATAATTATTTTGATACTAATATCGATATATTTTTTTAAATTATAAGATATCTTCAATTTTATATGTTATTAAAAAATAAAAACATTATCGTTTTTCCCAAAACCACATAAAACCGTATTATAACATCGACATAGGACAAAATAAAACGAAACATTAAAATCGAGATGTATTTCGCTTCATTGCACGAGTACCATTCTAGTTAATACAAATAAGATAACAAAAAATTATAAAATATAATATGTTAATTATTACATATTATAATATTTGAATTTATTTAAACAAATTTTAAGAAAAAAACTATTATTTAAATAAAAACTCATTGTTTCACCTTCACATATGTACGAAAATATGACATAGGACATAACTTTTTTATTTCACCAAAATAAGTAGAACAAGATGGGACATAACTAAAAATCATAAATGCATTCTCATATTATATAACTATACTATGATATTTGGTTTAATGCTCACCACCGTCCATCGTTGTCGCTACCACCCTCGTCGGCGGCCACCAACGGTCACCGCTCACCCTCCACAACTACCACATCCACCATCTCCACATCCTCTGCAACCATCATCAACCACAGCCCACCACCATCCATTATCGTCACCACCTCCACCACCGCATACTATCTACCACTGTCCATTACCACTTCTATCATATCATAACCATATCATAAAAATAAGAATCTCAATAAAACTCTATAATTGACGTAGTCAAATGATTTATAATACAGTATAGAAATAGATTAACAGTAAATAATGGATAGTAATATATTCTGTTTATTTAAGAATAAATATATAAATTTATTTATGTAAAAACTATATTAATTAAAACAAAATTAAAAAACCTTGTGTGAAATTAAAGCTACAAGAAACAAAATTAATAAAAATATATTTATAATTATTAATTTATATTTTTTTATCAGTTTTAATTTTATGTTTTTTCTTTGATTTAATAAAATAAAATATAATGTTAAATAACCAATAATAAAATAAAAATGCAAGAGTCGATGCAAAAATCTGAATTCTTGTTCAAGCGTATAAACCGTTATAAAATTATGTGATAAGACAAAAACCTTTATCTTACAATGGAGATTCATATACTAACATCGAACGAACACAAACAGATGTTTGTTCATGTTCGTTCGTTTAACTTAACCGAACAAACGAACGATAGACGAACGAAAATCTTTATGTTCATGTCCGTTCGTTTATAAACCAGGTGTGTCCATGTTCGTTAATTAACATGCTAAACGAACGTAAACGAACTAACATAAACGAACGGGCTAAACGAACATGAACGATGAAAAAGTAAAAATTTCAAATAAGCAAAACGATGATAAAATTTAAAACTAAATAAATTCTAAAAAGTTAAAACTTAAATAAATATTATTTGAATTCAAACTAAATAAATAAAAAATTATATATTAAATTTAATATATAAACGAACCTAAATGAATGAACGTTTACAAACATAAATGAACAAACGAGACTCTTGTTCATGTTCGTTCGTTTAACTAAACGAACAAAAAAATGTGTTCATATTCATTCATTTATTAAATAAACGAACTTCCCGCCGAACATTTCGTGAACCTTCGATTCATTTACAGCCCTAATAACAAGGGTTGAAATTCATATGGGGTTGTTATTTAAGTTATTATCTTATGTTAAACATTTCTTTAATCAAAGCTATAAATTATAGGATCTGATGGCACCTACTAAACATTTAAGCTCGATCATTGACTCTAATGATTTGCCAAGAAAAGTCAACAAGACTCTAATCTAGGAACAATGAAAGACTACTGGTAGGTGTCATATTTATATCACATAAATGCCAAACGTTACATTTTGGGATTCAAAGCTTTGAAATTTTTCAGTTGGATTTGGGAAAGACGTGCAGTTTCAACAGATTCTTTAAAATAGAGAAAAATAAGGCTTTTGCTTCACATATTCTCTTTACTGTTCTCTAAAATGGCAAATTGTATGAAAAAGTAATGTACTTTAACTTGATTCATATTTTGGATAACGTACTTTCAAAACTTCCATTTTGATACCTAAGATGTAAAGATTTAAACGTTTAAGTACTCGGGTAATCGATTGAAACATTAACCGGTTATCATATTGATGTGTCGAGTGATGTGGTATCAAACTCAGTATTATTTGTTGACGTGGTTAGTGACATGATTTTTTTTTAATCTAAAATTAGTTTTCAACCGGTTACTCGGGTACTTAAATGTTTAAAGTTACATTTTAGGTATTAAAATGGAAGTTTTAAAGTACGTTACTCAAAATAGGAATCAAGTTAAAGTACGTTACTTTTTCATGCAATTTGCCCTTCTCTGAAATATAAAAAACTAGATAAAACTTAAAGTTTAGAGAACTTTCTAGAACTTAATATGTGGAGTGTGAAATTAAACTTTTATTCGGTCCAACCAATGAGATTGAATATTATTATTTTATATAAATTATTTTTAAAAAGTGTATCTGGATAATCAATTTATAGACTATTTTGAAATATAATAGATGTTGAAATGTTCGAAATAGATTTGTTAGAGTTAGAGCATCTCCAACAGCTTTTCTAAAACAGAAAATGAGTTCTTGTTCTCTAAAACGCTCTACCAGTGTTTCTATCTTGTTCTGTAAAATAGTGAATCATGGAGAAATATCTAAATATAGAGAACTCTCTAAAACCTGACGTTGGGAGAGAATTGATAATTTTATTTAATTCCACCAATGAAATTGAGTTGTTATATATATTATATTATAAAGCATTTGATAAAAACTCTTAAAGACTGATTTTTATGCATGAAGTACAGTTTATTGATGCATATACTTAAAATCCAAGATTACAAGTAATTTTGCATAAGTACAACTTATTAAAGCTCCATTTTTAAACTAATGTAACTAACCGCAGATAAAAATAATCAAATACAGAATAAATATTCATTTTAAATATATAAATCTAATATATAATTAAGATAATCATTGAGTTCTAACAGAATATTTAATTATTATATATATAAAAATTTATAGTATTAAATCAAAAATAAATTACTTTGTTATTAAATCTAAATTAAATTATAATAAAAAACTGAATTAAAGAAGTTACAACAAAAAAAAAAACGAGAACTATTAAATAGTTAATTTGATACTCATATCGATTTATTTTTTTCAAAATTTTATGTTGTCTTTAAATTTATATTTCAGTCAAAAATAAAAACATTATCGCTTTCTCAAAACCACATAAAATTATATTATATCGATAAAGACAAAGAATAAAAATTAAACATTAAAATCGAGATTTATCTCACTGCATTGCGCGAGTACACTTTCTAGTTTTTTTTTTATAAAATTTTAAAAAATGTATTGCGATGATAAATTAGAGAATATTATAATAAATATAATTTATGTAATCTTTAAAACAGAAAATCTGTTAAAATTGGATGTAATTCTTTTTAGAAATTTCATGTTTTGGTTATTTATTTTAGAAAAACTATTGAAGATGCTCTTAGTAATTTTTTTTTAGAATTTTTGATTTTTAATTCTCTATTTAAAAAAATTATGGCGAATATGTTGAAGATGCTCTAATATGTTAAAAGCATCTCCAATCCACCACTATAATATTAGAATACTAAAAGGATACTCGTACAATCCAACCAGATTCATCTCGATTTTAATGTTTTTTTTTTTTTTTTCTCTATTGATGTTATAATACGATTTTACGTGGCTTTGAAAAAACAATAATATTTTAATTTTTGAATAAAAATTTGAAAAAAATATATATCGATATTAATTCAGCCTTTTATTATAATTTAATTTAAGTTTAATAACGGAGTAATTTACTTCTGATTTAATACTATAATTTTTCATAAAAATAATAAATAAGTATTTTGTTATAATTCAATGATTATCTTAATTATATTTTATATTTTTTATATTTAAAATAAAATATTTGTCTTATATTTGATTAGTTAGTTACATAAATTCAAATATGAAGTTTTAATAAGTTGTACTTACACATAAATCTATTTCTAATCTTGAATTTTAAGTAATATGTATCAATAAACAATATTTTATACATAAAAAAAAGTTTTTAAAAGTTTTTGTCAAATACTTTATAATATAATATAGACAAGCTTTTTCTCCTCCAATCAAACACTAAGGGTTGTTTGTTTACCTCTTAATAGTTCCATTAAGAGACAAATTCTGAATCGTTAAAAAGTGAACTTTGTTTAGCAAAAAAAAAGTTTGCTTCTTAATGGTTCTAAAACCCTCTGAATGATTTTGTATTTTGGGTCTCCCTTAACCATTCAGCACTATAATTTCATTGTAAACAA